TTTTCATACTCTAATGGTTTCACCAAACTGGTATCAAATCGAGAATTCATCAAACATATCATCAAACTAAGAACAGAATACATGTTTCACCAAATTACTGTGCGTGACCGTTAAAGCAGAAAAACTTCAGAATTTTACACATGGTGGTCGACCACTTGGATGTCCACCTGGTCGACTCCTTGGTCGACCACCCGGTTGACCAACCAGTCGACCAGTGCATGCAAAATTGCCCTGTGAAGGTAAGTTCAAACAGTTAAAAAAGGTCCAAAAAAAAAAAATGGCTTTACCGGTCGACCAACCGGTTGACCCACGGAGGTAGGTTCAAACAGTTCAAAAAAATAAAAAAATAAAAAAATAATTGGGTTTTACCGGTCAACCAACCGGTTGACCTACGGGATTTTAATGCACCGTTAGAGCAACTGATATCAAATTGAAAAAATAATTCATTTTTTACCCAAATTTGATAAAAAAAAAAATACAAGATTGGAGATGTTATTATATCTTTCATCTACTCTTTGCATTCATAACCTTTCAAATTCTAATTTCACATCCACACCTTCTGCTGCTTTCCCACATTATAGAGGCCGCCACCCGTCACCTCCTTCCTTCGCCTCCCTATCTCTAGTCACCCATTCCTTGATGCCCCCACCCTCTCATTTGCCTCGCCTCCCCAATGTACAAAATCCAAGTACTTTTCACCCTTTTCCCCTATTTCTTCCCTTGTGAATAACAGTTAATAAATATTGAATTTTAAAACAAACTATTAGATTAGGAAGGCTTTAAATTTTTTCTATCCTCTACAAAGAGAAGGTAAAAAAAAAACTTCTTTTATTACATAAATCTATCTATAGCTTCGTTTGAAAAGTCAAGTTTGAGATTTTTTAGTTATTTTAGTCACAAAAAATAAAATAAATTTTTTAATTTAATAAAACAAAACATCACTTACAACCTATAATTATTATATTCTTCCTCTCACAAAAAAATTAAAAAAATCAAAAAAATCAAAAGTCGTTTCCAAACGAGACTTTTTAGCCTCAAACTAATAGTTAAAAAAATCAAAAAATCAACCTACTTCCCAAACGAATCTTATGTACTACCTAACTCATACAGTGACCTTTGCTAAGGGTTTAAACATGGAGTAATTATTTTACATATTTTTAACGAGTGCAAAAGTACTCCAACTTAAATGATATGTGCCTGATTTTTCATATATGGAGTTAATACATAAGATCTTATATTATATGATAAAATCAAATAACACATTATCTGTTTCACTTTATGTTCAATCTGAAGTGCACATATTATTTGTCTTATTTTTTGTCCCAATCCATTTGACATTATTGTCATACCATTAAAATCAAAATTGAAAGAATATGAGATAGAAAACCGCGGAACAGGGGTCCCTGCTGTGTTCAAATCACAACAGTGACTATGATGTCTCTGTTTGAGGTGTATTATGGTTTTATTTTTATGATCTAAACCGTTCATATTGTAGGATTTGTTGAGTATTTCATGCCTATCAAAAATCATATTAATTGGATATCAATAACTATATGATCGAATCACATATTGTTTATGCTATTTTTCAAAAGAAAAACTTATTATTTATTTTTTTGGTTATCGATCATATAGTTGTTGATATTCGATTAATATGATTTTTGAATACTCAACAAACCCTACAAAATAAACGATTTAAATCATAAAAATAAAATTATAATACACCTCAAACGAAGGCACCACTGTCACTGCTGTGCTTTTGAGCACAACAGTGACCCTTTATAATAAAATAGAAGAACCCATCCAAAATGGACCTTTGGTATTTTTCATGATTAAAAATAAATAAGATCAATGTCCTACCCTCAACAGTTCTGCCACGGACCCCAACGAAGAACAAACTTCCTCATTTCTTCACCCCTTTCTCTCCCCATTTTGATCTTTCAGATAAAAAATCTTAAAACAAACAAAGGGTATACTGTTGATTTTCATGTCCTTCATTAACCGTACACGTGGCACTCGTGAATATGGGTTTGGATGCAATAATTCATAGGGCCCTTTAAAGGCGTTTTTGAGAACAGAAGGTCAAAAAATAATTATTAAAAGTTAAAAAAAGAAAAAAAATTCTCCACAAAACAAGACAGTCAAAAGTTAATCCACATAAAGATTTGTTTAGATACACAACTTTTAATCTTTACGAAAATTTCAATTGCCATGTAACAAACAATTCAATTTATAAATAAAAAATTATAAAATTAAAAGACACAAAATTTTAAAGTGTAATTTAGTCAAATTAAGGAGTGTTTGAGATGATTTAAATAAATATACTTTTTAATTTTTTACGAAAAAAAAAAGAGTAAAATATAAGTTAGATATTGACCCTCTCCAATCATAAATCAATAAAATAATATTGGTGAAATATTATTTTACCTTGGTAATATTTTGTTATTTCTACTGTTTTCTTTTTCTTTATTGGTTGGTTGATTGGACCCTCTCCAATCTTGGGTTAAGTGTTGGTATATGATTGAACTAGTTTTTCGATGCCAACCTAGTTAGGATTATTGAATTTAGTTATGATGCTTGTTGCACTTCTCCTCTTTATTGATGTAAGTTCTTTGCTTGTATATAACTTTTTCATCAATAAAGTTTCATTTTTGTTGATAAAAAAAACAAGTTAAATTTGAAGTAATGTGATAGAGAGATAATGTGATCTAAAAAAAATGACTATAACCTAAATAAGATAATATGTTAAAACAGTATATACTATTTTAACACATACTAAATACTCCCTTAGTGTTCATAAGCACGCCGAAACTAAACATTATTAATTATAATTTTGTATGCAATTGATCATAATTAGGCATGCGAAACTTTTTGGACTGGTCTTTCAAAAGTTTGAAAAAAATTGAAAATATTTTTGATGGATTGGTTTGAATTGTACGATTAAGAGATTGATTTAGGAAGATGACTTTATATGATTAAGGGACCTACATGGTGGTTTAAAAATGTGTAATGGGACAATTCTTGACCTAAAATTGTCCTTTTTAGCTTTGCTTTTCTCTTCATCAAATGATGATGGGTATAAAATTTAGGTCGCTACGTGACCCATTAGCTTGTAGAGTATTGTTATATACCACTAATTTTTTATAATTAATCTCATTATTAATGAGATGATAATTGAAAAAAAAAAAAAAAAAAACAAGGCACAAATACACTGTGTGGCAGTGAGTGGGATCCACTGCCACATCATTAAAGTCACTACTAATTAGTGGTCTAAAGCATTTCTTTTAACTTGTAACAGAAAAGAAAAAAAAAGTAAACATTTTTTTAGTAGTATATTAACAATCTCAACAATGATTTAGACCACTAAAAAATACATCACTAATAACACTAATGCATTAAAAATGACAAAAAAAAAAAAAACATAAAAAATGAGCGGGACCTACTATCTTATCATTAGTGCTTCTCCTAACACTTTCTTTTTAATGTTCCAAGTATTTTTCTTAACAATATATATATCGAACCCGCTACAGAGCTCGAATTACTCAGGCACGAAGTTGGCTCGAATTTTAAACGGCGTCATTTTTGTATTTTTTTTTTTTTCAGTAGAAGGAAGAAGACGAAGAAGAGGAGGAGGGGGAGGAAGGACTGGAGGGGGCTTCAAAAATGGCGGAGGAGGGGGCGGACGCGATCGGCGGAGGCGAGGGACGGACCTACGACGACGAGCGGCTGCCTACGACGACGAGCTGCCTGTGACGACGAGCTGCTGCCAGCGACAACGACGAGCTGCCTGCGACGACGAGCTGCCTGCGACGACTCTCGCCTCTGTTTCTCACCTCCTCTATTACAGAAGAAGGATCAAAAAGAATGAAAAAAAAAAAAATTCAATTTCGAGCCAAATTCAAGCCACACATTTCAAACACTCAAACATTTTCGTATATGTATATCTACCTAACCTACAGTAGGGGTTGTCGAGACTCGAACAACTGATTTGATGCAGGGACCGTTCAAGGCCTGTCTCAATGGATTAGGCATCACTTTCAAGTAATCATGTAATTGATTCAGTCAAAGATCATATAAAAGACTAAGAGATAAATACGACAAAAAATTGGTTATCATTATATGATTATCCCTACTATATTTTATTTTATGGTGATTTCATCGGCAAAAACAAAGCACTTAATTTAAAATGTCCAAGTTGCCAACGGGTAAAACAAAGCTCATCTCTTTCCCTCCCTCTATCAAATTGGTAAAGATTTGGTTAACAATTTTCTGCCTTTAATTTATAATTAGGTATATATATATCTTCTCCATTAAACATTAATAGGAGAGTGTCAAAAAAATTATGCTTGTATTGTCTCTAAGTTAATGCTATTTCACCAAATCCACTTAGTTAAGAGTCTTAAATAAATTAAACAAAATGATAAGGATAAAAAGCTTTAACCTTATGCAAAGCCTTATTAGCATAATACCCAATTATGACTCAATCTTCATAGTTTCATGCTCAAGTACATGGGTGCACAAAGAGAACAACTCTGAATTTTCCATTCCAACAAGAGATGCTTGCATGCCCACACATTGAGAGAGAGAGAGAGAGAGAGAGAGAGAGAGAGAATGGTATAGGCCTACTCCAAATTGGAAGGAAAAATTAAAATGAACAAGAATAAAACTTTAAAATAGACCTCCCACGTATTTTATTTTATTTTATTTTTGTAATGAGAGAATTTGGATTTTTCTCAGTTACTTCTATCAGTTGCATTTAGTTATTGTCTTCCCATATGTTGAAGTTAAATCTGGAGTGACCTCAAGAGCTCAAGCACTTCAATAATTCCAACTCGTGTCGTGAACCACATTTTTTTTTTTTTTTTTTTAAAATAAAAGAAATACCTGGGAAAAAAAAAGAATGGTCGAGGCGAAATTTGAATCACTGACACTCACTCCATTTGCATTATGAATCTCGGACAATACTAAACAAGAGAGAGAGAGAGAGAGAGAGAGAGAGAGGCAAATCAAACAACATTGATAAATAATTTGTTGATCAAAACCGTAGTTTAAATCGAAGCTAATAATTTGATAAACATCAAGCCCAACAAGAGGCCAATTGGTACAAAACTTTGTTCTAAACCTCCCTAATAATATCTACCGATGCTATTTACACTCCAAAAAGAGAACCAAAAAAGAGTTGGATAAAAAAAAGAAGGAAAAGAACAATCTTGATCTTCATGGAATGATGATATTCATTCATTCATGCCAACAAAGTAGCATGACTACACATCTCCTTATAATGTAGAGCCTAGTCCTTTGCTCTTTAAGGACCCCTCCAAGTCCTCTGCTTGATATCCTCCTCTTGGACCCTCCCATGGTGGTGCTACTCATCTTCATCTCTAATTTTGCGAGACAGAGAGAGAGAGAGAGAGAGAGAGGGGTTCTCACTTCTCACACAAGTGAATATGTTTGAATAGAATTGAAGCTTTGCAAGAGGAGGGGGGTTCTTCATATATTGGGTGAGTGTGGTCCTGGGTGGCATTGGTCTATTGAAGACCCAACTATGGGGCATCAAACGGCGTGCAGTGCCCCCTACCCCACCAGACAATTCCTTATGGGGTCCCACCCTCCCCCACTTGGACTCCGTATAAATTATTTTAATTTTTTATTATTTTAATAGGTTATAATAATTGTATTTAAAAATATAGTTGAATTTTTTATAATTAAATATGATGTTTGTAAAAAGAAAAGTGAAATGATTATGAATTTAATATAATATTTTATTTTATTAATTATTTTAATATATTTTATCTTTTAATGTTATTTTAGTTCAAAAATTCAAAAAAATTTCTTTCCGAACACCTCTAGTATCTTGACTAAGTAAAAATTATCGAATGAGTTTAGAACATCATACCGTTACGTGTTCTAATTAATAGTATTTTATGATTTATTTATATATATTTTTTGAATTATGGAAAAATATATGATCAATATGTATTTCAAAAAGACAAAATAATTATTCAATTGATAGAAATTCATTTGGATTGTTTCAAACCTTCACGTTAATTTTGCTTTTCAATTTAAAAAAAAAAAAAAAAAATCGGTTTGAGGACTCACTTTGAACCTACACCTCTCTCTGAAAAGATACAATGGCGGAATCTCAAAATTCGCCTTTTGCATATTTATTTAACTCATCATAATTACTCAAGAACAAATTTGGTTTGGGATGAAGTTTCGGATTAAAATAGTTATATAAGATAAAATAAATTATTTTAGTCAAATAGGACAAAATATCACATTCGATTCCTAATCATTTTATTTTTTCTCTTACAAAAGTAAAAAAAGTCAAAAAACTTATCTCAAATGAGTCTTTTTAGCTTCAACTAAAATAATCAAAAAGTCAACATACATCCCAAATGAACTTTAATGTAATAGTTCCAGATTAAATAAAAAATTAAAAAAAAAAAAAAACTTTTCCTCAACAAGAAAGAAAAATAATGAAAAAATCTCAATGGCACAGTGAAAAAAAAAATCTATTTTTATCTAGTGCAAGTGTACAATGTATTTAGTACAAGTGTTTATTGTGTATCTTAGACTTACACTAAAAATATTCCCATATGTAGTAAAATTATTTTAAACTGTCACACTAATATGTAATTTGCTAAAAAATAATCAAAAAATCCAAACAAGCCCCTCAATCTCTTTCTTCTCTCTCTATGTCTCATTGTCATATCATTCCCCATATGCTAAGGTGTGTAGACAATCATCCACCAGCATGATGGGTCGGCCATTACCTCAATAAGGTAGCATATTTCAATAGTTTATGAGTCACCCCTTCAACTTCTTCTTGATGATGAGTGGATAATTTGGGCAATGAAACTTTATCTCGACATATTTTTATACATCCTCCTTGTAGCGTTTTGTTGGATACACATAAGCAGACAATTTATAGGAGGCTTCAGTTGAAACCTACTTGACAATGCACATCTTAACTACCTTCACAAAGTTTATTAACCATAATTAAGCTCATCTTATCTTTGTTTATGACTTAAATATGTTCTTACAAGTGAGGACGTGTGCAAATAAATTAACTAGGATAAGTAAAATATTAGAAGTACTTAATTAGGAGGACTATAGTCCCACATGTTATTGCATATTTTATGTAATGACATTATAAATAATACGACCTGACCAAAAATATATATACCAATGAGCAATGATAGTTTTATGTGGTATATTAATGAGCAATAGTATCCGTACTTGCCTATTAATTTGTGGATTTTTTATTTTGAAGAATGGATAACTCAAGTCAAATCAGATTGTTCAAATCATTCTATTTTTAAATAATTAACTAATTAATCTCAATAACATAAAATACTATAATTCAAATTTTAGCATTATGACTTCCTTGTTAGTAAAACTAAAGCAGTTGGACATAGGGATAAATAAAGAAAAATACACTTTTTTAACATTAAAATATTAAAAATTTTAATATAACTATGTTAAATTTATGGAGGTCAATGTATTTTTTTTTTTTTTTCAAATCTGAAAAAAAAAAAGGAGTGTAATTTACCCATTTTTTTAATACACTAGGGTTTGCAACACACCCCACTCCAAAATCCTCTTTGGGTTGGGAAAATCCGACCCATTTTGGGGTGCAATGTGTGATGGGCTGAAATTCTATGGTCACAATCATTATCATAGAAACAAAATTGATTGAGACTTTTGTTTGGTTATAGAATTTGAGGGAAATCTGTGGAAAATAAAAAACAAAAAACAAAAATATGTAGTTTCTAATTTCATTACTTTTTCCTGTGTATTCTTTCTCATTGTAAATTCTTCCTCAAATTTTTTATCCAAACAGCCTTAAAGATGTGCACACGAGCATTCTCAATCATAGGAATCCTAGGCAGTTGGGCACAACTGAGATTCCAGGAAATAGGACTTGTAGGAGTTGTAATTAAGCTACTTAATATTATCATTAATTAGCATTAAAGCAAAGTAGGATCAAAATAAGAGTCAAAGCCTCTCACGTGAAGCTCCAATTCTCGTGCCCAATTCTAGCAGAGAATGAAGAACCCAACACAAACAACACACGAAATTTCAAGGTTGTGAGTTGTAAAACAAGATTAATTAATACGGTTTCGTTAACCAGTACTCCTGAGACGTAAAGAAAAAATAAAAGATATATCAATTTTGAGATATTTATTATTAAATTCAATTCAAAATATTTTATAACTTTTTATACTTTGTCAATATACTTTTTCTTACTTTTCTAATATTAAGGCTTGGTTTGAGATACACTAAATAATACAAAAAGTCACTATCCTATTTAAGTCACATCATCTTATTTAAATCACATCACATCAAACCCAACCCAAACCCAACCCATATAAGCCAATAAGTCAAAAAGTACACTTTTTTAGAACATCCCAAACCAACCCTAACAATTGTCATGGACATTTGTTAGCATTTGCCTAATTAATAACACTAATGATTTGTTTGGCATTGGTTACGGTAGTCAATTTTTTTGTATTGGGACTTTTTTAACTTGCTTTTTTTTGGTTTTTGTTTTTAGGTTTTTTTGGCTTTTGTGGAAAAAAATATATATAATGATTATGATTTTGATGCGACATTTGGTCTTATTGACTTATATAACTTATTTTATCTTTTTGTATTTTTTTAGCCGCAAAATAAAAACCAAACAGGTAATAAATATTAAGTAGTATATAAATGATGGTGAAAACAGGGCTCGATTAATTTAATTGCAAGAGCTCAAAACCCAATCGAGTGATTGATTAGTTTTATGTACAATTTATTAAATTCAAGAAAGCCTCTCTGTGCACAACTTGCTTTCTTCTTGTGTTCCTCCCCATTTTTTTCGCTTTGGACATCTAAAGAGAACCAGCCATTAATTAACCTCAGTATTAAATAAACAATTATCATCTTTGAACACTTTGAAGCTGTCAATTTCGATGTTCGAGCTTACTGTTCTTTGTTGCTTACTTCATTTCAAGTAAAGGCATACATTAAGAAACAACTTGAGTATATACGGTACTAGGTTTTGATAACATTATAAGTCTCTTATTTTCTGTTTACAAAAAAATTAGGAAACAACTTTTTTTTGTTTTTATTTTTTGAGTAATGCTATATAAATAAAAAAAACTCGTATATAATAATATGACTCATTATGAATCATTCACTTCAAAATAAAACACAATTAAAGATGTATTTATTTATAATAATGATATAGTCACATCATTTTTATGAATTTTTTTTTTTGTACGAATAGAAATTTTCTAATCTTTTTAATAAAAACTTGAAAAAAATATATATAATTGATGAATTACAGAAGGTAATTGTCAGCGATAGAGGGTGGACAGATGTGGTGACTGGCGGTGAATGATGGACAAATATGGTGTTTAACAATGAAGGGTGCTCGAAGGTCATGAGTGATGACCATATTGCCGAAGGAAGCAAGACAATTGACAGAGGTGGTCAGAGCTTGTCAAAAAGTTGCTGGCAAATTAGCAAGCGATGGTGGTGGGACAAAGAGAAGCGAAACTTTATTTTGAAAATAAATGAAAATAAGTGAATTTATTTTTGGAGAGTGAGATTGGTCTTTTAAATTAATCGATCTATTAGGAAAAATACTGAATTATAAATATATATATATATATATATATATATCATTAGTCCATTAATGATTAACAACCATTTGTGAATTCAATAAGTGATTATAACGTTGATAGTGTTGGAAAATTTGGTTGATAAGGCTTATTTTGGGCCAATTTCGAGTTCAAAATTGAGTAGGCTCCGAACGTCTTTTGGGACGGATCCAAAGAGGTGAAGTGTTCCTTCCTGCGTGGCAAGTCACATGGTGAAGACGGTTCATCAAAACCATTCATGAGTGAATGGGAACATGACGTCGTTTTCGGGTTCGTGGAATAGGAAATTTAAGAAAATAAATGTGGGTTTCTTTGGAAAGGGTTGTCCCACATTGAAACTTTAAGAGAGTTTATTTGTGTATATAAACTCTACCCTACAATACGTGGGTTGGACCCTAAGGAGCACCCAAAGTTTGTAGAAGGGAGGAGTTATAGACAAAGTAAACCTTAGCCCAAACCACCACACGCGCGCGCTGCCGTACGTCCGAGTCGGTTCTAATATTAATTTTTTGGACAAAATTCATTTGAATTTTTTCAAAAATTATTGCGGGAATTTAATTTGAGCCTCCTTCTGTTCGAATTTGTGACAGATTAACTGCTCATAACTGCCCAGCAGTTCTAGTCTGAAACTGCACTGTTTGAACAGATTCAAACAGTTCAAACAGATCTACATTTCGAGCAGTTATCTGTTCAGTTCTGGTATGCACCTGTTCATTTTGAAACCATATCTGTTTAGTTCAAATTTCTGCACCTGTTCGGCTCTATTTAATCTAGCATTGCCCAACAGTTTTAGGCATCCGAAAATCTGTCTGCATTTTGTGCTTTTGC